GTGAGTATGCAATTTCTAGCAGGAATATATAACAAGTAAGTATTTACAGTAAATAGCATATTATCACACACCAAGGTTATTCAAAGTGCTTTACAGGCAAAGTTTAAAACAAATAAAAAAACATAAATATATATGTATGTTGCTCAACAAAACCTACAACAGCCACCAGATATAGTGGATATCACAATGGTGGTGCTCAACCTTCTTAGTAAACTTGGTTTTCTTCATCAGGATCTGTGTGCGCTCACATAAAAGCAGGAATTTGATGCATTATGTGACTGTTCTTCAGCACAAAATGGACCCATGGAGATTATTGTAATGAACTTTTCCTGTCACCTCCTCATCCTGCACAGATCAGACAAACAGCTGCTGTAAAGGCTCCTATCTTAAATTCTTTCAGCAGATAAACATGGAAAACCTGGTGCTTTTTCAGTCTGTCTGGCATGTACAGTTCATTGGTCACTTTACCCACTTGTTTAGTGACCTCATACGGTCCATGCCATTTGGTCAAGAGTTTGTTTTCATTAGTGGGAAGCAATGTGATTACCTTTTGACCAGGACTAGAGACTCTGTCCTTAGCCTTCTGGTCGTACCAGGTCTTCTGGTGTTGTTGGGCTGCTCTCAGGTTGTCTTGTGCCAGCGCTGCCATCTCCTCCAGTCGTCCCCTCATTTTGACCATGTAGGCCATCACATTCTCCTGTTTTGACTTTGGAGTCTCCCAATAGTCTCGCAGAAGATCCAGAGGCCCTCTCACCTGGCGTCCAAAGAGCAGTTTGAAGGGTTAGAATCCAGTGGAGACCTACGGCACCCTAATGGTAGGCAAACAGAAGGAAAGGCAGCCATTGGTTCCAGTCAGCAACTGTGTCAGAGACAAACTTGCGCAGCATGTTTTTCAGAGTCTGGTTGTATCGTTCCATTAACCTGTCCGTTTGGGGTGGTACGGGGTGGTCCTAATCCCTTTAACCCCTAACAACTGGTACACCTGCCTCAAAAGTCTAGACATGAAATATGTCCCACAGTCTGTCAGAACTTCTTTGGCAATTCCTACTCCAGAGGCCCCTTCGTCCTCCTCCTCCTCATCAACAGTCACTCCATCAGGTGGGGCCTCAGGTTGGTCAGGTCTATCTTGAATTTTTCATTTACCTGATGCTGGATTTGTTGGAACTGGTGTTGCAGGTTCTTCTACCTCTGCTCCTGGCAGGAGAAATCTGTCTCCATCTTCTGGTCCCTGACTGCCTGAGACTGGATGAAGGATTTCACCAGACCCGTCAGCTCCTCCAACTTGTTCTCAGGAGTACCGCCTGCCATAGCACCTTGTTCCGCTGATGAACACCCACCATCAACAGGCTCCTCATCTTGGCAGAGTTTGTTACCACCTCTGGTCATCATGCTGTCCTTCTGCAGCGTGGATATCCCACTTCTGACACCACTTGTGAGGAATGGCCACTAGCAGCCAGAAGGAAGAGGCTGAAGGCCGAGTATGATACCATGAAAAAGTTTTATTATTTGCTCTTTTTTTTTCCAATCATCAACAAAAAGTCTTCTCCGGAGCATGTGTTGCTTCAACTGGTAGCAGCTCTCAAATGAAGATCCTGACAGCTCTTTAAAGCCTCCCACCAGGAAGCTTAACCCGCCGCCACAGACACAGGGAGGTTATATTCTTTGTTCATATTAAATACTTAATTCAACATTTGTATGAAGCATTTTTAAATATACTAAAATATATTTACAAACATTAACTTCAATAAATTATCAATATATTTACAATACACCCGTAACCCAGAAATAAACACCTAAAACCCGAACAAAACACCCCCTCGCCATTTCATCCTGTGGTTCCTCCCAACCTACAACAGGTGCTCGGACCGCCAGGACACATTTGTCTGAACACCCTGTCAGACTGGAAGCACACGACAGGTACGTTGCACAATGCAAACATTTAACACTGCACTAAAACATTTATACACTCCGCTACACTCATCCATTGCACCGTAAAGAATACACACACACACACACACACACCTCCGTTATAAAAACTGTGATCAATTCCAATAATAATGCTGGAGCTTTGCTTTACAGGTGGCCGTAAATCACCCACAAGTGACCGCTTCTGCGTCTGAAAGGTGAACCACCTGTCAAAAGCATTCAATCAATAATTACAAGAAGTGATAAACTGTGTGCAAATGTCTGCATGTTTTTTATGTGAAAAATGGGCCAATCCTCAAAGTGCAAATGTGCATTGCTAAAGTGCTCCATGTTCTCTAAAACCCCTGCGCTATTTACAAACAGCCCGTAACAAAGTACCTCTTTGTTACAGCCTGAATTATTTACAAGAACAATGCAGTGATCTTTCAAGGAATTTTACTGCTCAGTTTAAGCACTTTGCAGGTTTCCCAAAAATATTTTTATTACAACATTTGAACCAGAGTCTGTTCATTTTTACAGCACCATGAACCAAAACATGTAATCTACAAGTGGTGTTTGTATCACTTTTGTTTATTAAGACAATTGGATTCAGTTAAAATTCACAGGTTTTCCTCCCGTAACAACAAAAAGCTAAAGAGAAGCCAAGTGAGTTTTTACTGAAGGTCCTAGGACTATCATGACATGGATGATTGAGAATCCATACCAATAATAAGCAGAATACATGAAAAACACAAAGCTCAGGAGTCTTTGCTGTTCTGAAGAGAAAGGACATAGTGTTTATATTTTGTCACACGGGTAGTGCAGTGATTGAGTTTCCCAGAGTGTGGGTTCATCTCATCAATTTGCCACATAGTCAGAAAGCTCTCCCACATATCTTGTTAGTATGAAACTTTTAATCTGTATGAACTCCTTGGTGCCTTCTTAAGTTTGTCATTCGACTGAATCTTTTCCCACAGGTACTACAAGAATATGGCTTCTCGCCTGTGTGGATTTTTAAGTGACCATTCAAGGTTGACCGCTCAGTAAATTTTGTCCCACATGTGTTGCAAACATATGGTTTCTCACCTGTGTGAATCATCAGATGTGCTTTTAACTTTGATGTACAGAGAAATCTTTTTCCACAGGTACTGCAGGCATAAGGCTTCTCACCTGTGTGGATCATCATGTGCCTTTTCAAATTACCAATGCCATTAAATCTTTTCTCACAAGTGTTGCATGAATATGGTTTCTCACCTGTGTGTGTTCTCATGTGAATGTTGAATACGTCTATCTGACTAAACCTTTTCCCACATGTATTGCAGGAGTGCCGCTTCTCACCTGTGTGAATCATCACATGCCTTTTCAAATTTGCAATGTTTATAAACCTTTTCTCACACATATTGCAGGCATATGGTTTCTCACCCGTGTGACTTCTCTGATGTATGAGCAGTTTGGATTTATAAGGAAAAGTTTTTTCACAAACATCACATTTTAAAGACATTTTCACTGTGTCATCACACTGACTCTCTGACATGGAAGAGTTGTCCACATTGTGAATTTTGTTTCTGCGATATCTCTTCTTTGTCTTTAGTTGTGAATTTCTACTTGATCCTGAGTCTACAACATTGTTTCCGTCCTGATCTGGACTTTGAGCTACAGGAGAGTTGTGAGAGAGGAGCTTGTCACTGCTTGGTTCTGGTTCACTTTGGTCACTTTCCTCATAATCAGAAGTCACGATAAAGATATTAATCTCCTGTTTCAGTGCAAGCTCTTCTCCCTCCTGACTCGTGCAGAAATCCTCTTGTTCCTCTTTAATTTGCAAAGGCTTTAGGTCCTCCTGGTCCACACTGGTGCAGTTTTCCTCCTGTTCATCTTTGATCTTTGGAGGCTCTGATTCCTTCTGGTCCAGACTGATGCAGCATTCTTCTTGTTCCTTTTTAACCCCTGGTAGCTCTGGATCCTCCAGTTCCTTTTTAATTTGTAGAGGGTCTGGATATTCCTGGTTCAGGCTGGTGCAGAATTCCTCCTGTTCCTCTTTAATCTGTGATGGCTCTTGATCTTCCTGGTCAAGACTGGTGGAGAATTCCTCATGCTCCTCTTTAATCTGTGGAGGCTCTGGGTGCTCCTGGTCCAGACTGTTCGTCTCCTGGCTACAAAGCAGCTGGTCAGTGAGAAACTCCTCCTCCTTACAGACGCTGTGTTGTCGGATGTCTGGGGCGGACAAAGGGATGCAAGAAAAAAGTCAGTAGCATAGTTCACAATCATGCCTGCAGACTCATCAAGGCAGAAAAAGCTGCAATGCTACAGGTAGAAGACACAACACACATTGTTCAAATACTTAGGCTGCTGTGCAGGTCTGTGGTACAAACTATTTAAATTAAGTGTCAATGGGTAGATAAACAAGATCAATTAAAAGATTTCTCAAATGTTGATACAGGTAAAGAAGCACTGAGGAAGTTTTTCATACAAACGTCTTCATATCTAGTCTTGCATAGCCAAACCCATTTCCATAGCACTGTGTCAATGCTGAGGAGAACGGACTGGCTGCACCTCATTACCATTCTGATATTTTCTTAAAACCAATCACAGTCTTCTTGGGTATTGCTAAACACATGGTGAAGGGTTGGTGCCAATTAAATGCACAACTTTGGCTCGGACGCAGTTCCAATTGGTTCTAACTACCGGGCACATCTCTCTAGCAGAGACACAACCTGCTAAAAACTGCACAAGAAGCAGAGCCATCACAACAAATTAGGGCATTAGTGACTTCCATAGTTTCAAGTTAGGAAGCTGCCACAAACGACCCCGAAACAGTGTCTGGAAAACAATTAAAAACTGACCATTGAAGGGAATAAGAGAGACAGAACAGTGAAAGAATAAGAAAATGAAGAGTAGACGTAAATGAAGGAGTAGAGGAGACAAAGTGATCGATCTTAATTAATCGATCCCTCAATGTAAACAGGAGCATCCTAACATCATCCAACACTCTGATGTCTTCACCTCTGTTGTACATATTCAGTCACAATGCTCTTTACTAATCAAGATTAATAGTTAGGACTGAAGAAAACAACCTTGGCAGAAGCAGTGACAGAGGCTGACCAGGGCCAGTTAGAGGAGACGTGGTTGTCTGGAAGAAGAATTTGAAGACTTCATGCAAATAAGTACATCTTATATTTCTTACTCACCAAATGTAAATTGCAGGCATAAACTTTCCAATGGCTGTTGCTGCTATCTCCTCCCCTTCTGTTGTCTAAGTGCTACCATTTTCTGATTCCTACAGGAAACAACAACCACCATATTGGGAAGCAGCAACCTACCACACTAAACATTTTAAGTTTTGTTGAGAATCATCAGCATTTTACACATTAAATCTCCTTTTTAAATACAGTACAGCTTTTTCCACTCTTTTATTTTTTGTTTTACAAATTTTCACTCTAAAATTTCTCTTTTATATTCACAAAGGTTAACTTTTGCACTACTTTATCTTACTTTGTACAGCTTAAATTTTATGCAGTCTGACTCAGTGGATGTAGACTTTGCATATAAATCGGCCATTTCCACTATGACTTCTCACTGTGTTTTCTTTAACATCTGCTATCTGTTTGTTACAGAGCTGCAGATTGTCTTTAAAGTCACAAAACAAAAACAACAGCCTCCTCGCACCAACTAACACACTGAAAATGTACAGTTATCATTAAGTTTGGAGTCGTGCAGTAAAGGCGCCCTGCTAGCTGTTTTTTATTTTGTATGCATTTTCCATTTTCTTGAACGCCTCTCACCTCCCTGCATGCACAAGTTCCACCTCAACAATTCCTCCTGTCACTATTTTGAGTTTTTTTTTTTTTTGCCCCGCCAAAGATGAGAATGTTTGTGTTCTTCTTTGCTCCTGTAGCAGAATAATAAAGAGGTGCAGTCAGATCATCGTACACAACCAGATGACAGGTTTCAACACTGCAGGGATCTTCAAGTTCACTCAGTTTCCCTTGTGTCTCACACATACTGCGAGTTTGATGCTAAACGTGTCTGCTTTTAAAAATAGATGCATTTATGTTTTTAACGATCTTACATGAGTCTTATTCATCAGTTAGTTCATCCACACCATCACAGTTGTCCATACCTGTCGTGTGTATGGTTATCTGTGGTTTCCAGATGATATCCAGCTGACGATCCTCGCGCTGGACGATGGTTTGTTCAGAGACTCCGAGTTTTTCCTCCTCGACAGTTTCCTGCTCGATAATAAACTCCGTCGAACACTCAGCTGAACTCATCGTTACTCCAGCTGCTGAAATATTGATCTGAGAAACGACAACACAACCGTCTCCCAGCTCCGCATCAGTCAAGCTAACGCCGCCGGCTTGTTTTTGTTGTGTGCTTCCGCCGGGTGTCACACCGTGAAGCTCCGGCGGAGGACAACAGTTCACTTCGGTTCCGCGCTGTACAGCGTTTTTACGCCTGTCTTTAAAACGCTTATTCACATCCTAACTGAAATAATAACTCTGTATTTCTTTAAAGAAGAAGAAGAAGAAGAGGAAGAAGAAGAAGAAGAAGAAGAAGAAGAAGAAGAAGAAGAAGAAGAAACTGGATATTAAAGTCGATACATAAAAAAAAAAAAAAACACAAAACAAGTGATGCTGGCTTAGACATGTCATTTATATACTGAGATGTCAGAACTTCCCCTAAACCCAATTTTGTCCTTAATTGCACAGCAGCTGTTGTCTTGAAATGTTTTTGTTATTTTTTTCTTTAAAGAAAAAAAAAAAGTCTTGATTTAACAGCTGTATCTTGTGGCACTGGATGTTTAGGATATAAAAAAAAAGAAAAGAAAAAAAAAGAAATGTTTTATATTTGTCTAATTTCACATTTGTTCATTGTAAAGCATTGTGGAACTTTCTTTTCAATAGATGATACACCAATATCTATCCATTCATTATCTATAACACCGCTTAATCCTCACTAGGGTCACGGGGGGGCTGGAGTCTATCCCAGCTGACTCAGGGTGAAGGCAGGGGACACCCTGGACAGGTCACCAGTCTATCACAGGGCTACACTTAGAGACAGACAACCAAGCACACTCACATTCACACCTACGGACAATTTAGAATCACCAATTAACCTCAACATGTTTTTGAACCTTGTGGGAGGAAGCTGGAGAACCTGGAGAGAACCCACGCTGCACGGGAAGAACATACAAACTCGACGCAGAAAGATCGAAAGAAAAACACAAACCGGCGACCCTCTTGCTGTGAGACAACGGTGCTAACCACCGAGCCACCTTGCAGGCCCATACACCAATATAAGAGATTATTATAATTGTTGTTATTTTTAGGCATACTGTGACACTTGCAACATGTAAATTTGAATTCTTCACTTACTCAAAGAATTGAAACAGTTGAGAATTCCTCCACAATCATTTTCCTGTTACGTAAAAAAGATATGTGTTGGATACCAAGATCACTGAGGATGAAACAGAACAATCTAACAGGACAAAGAACTAAACAATCAGAGAATCTGAGAGACTTAAAAAACAAACCCTGAATGTTCCAAACTGGTTTAATCAGTGAGACTTGTCCAAGTTGCGTTATAAAATACGTGAACACCAAAGTTGTTTCTCCATTTCACAGCCAGAAGATACATTCATAAGTGTCAAAATATACTTACATTAAAAATTTAACCCATGAAAGTTTACCCAGAATGCACTTTTAAAAGTTTTCTCTGGTAAATTATCAGAAAACAGAAACACATCCAGGGTACCAATGATTTTTTCTATGACTCTGTGTCATAGACATGAAACTGCTGCAGTTTTACTGTTCAGACATCCCATAATAATGATGCGCAAAAGTGGTTACTAAAGAATTGTGTTGAACTTAAAGTTTTTCAGCCCTGAAAATATTACATGTCCATCTGCTGCACTTATGAAGTTATGAAGCTCAAAAATACTGGGAAAAAAACACAAATTAAAAAGTGTGAAACTGTGAAGCATGTACTTGGATTCAACTTAAAATATATCAAGAATTAACAGAAATAAAGATAAATCATTTTGAAACCCTGTTGTACTTGGATTGGGCTATCTATCAATACTTTTATGGTATAACTTGTCAGACCTGCTAAATCAGCAATGAAAATAACTTTCCTTGTCATATTTGTGACCAAGTATTTCATATTTTAAAGTTTTCTATACGATTTGTTTTGTATTATTGTGACATGCAGCATTATTTATTTTATTTTATTTATTTATTTATTTTTGTTAATGTGAGCTTAAAGATGGGACTTTTCATGACGGCTTCAATTATTATTCTTGCATACTTCAACTCACCCATAATCAGAAATTATTTGATCTACTTGTCCAACATTGAAGATTCTAAAGTGACAACACAAAGAAAAATAACGAGGAAAAATAATGAGTTTTACCTTTAGTAGTCCCTAAATATTGTTGTTCAAACAGTATGGGAAAACAGCCTCGAATTCTAATGTGTTAAAAATGAGCTCAAAGTTTTTCTCAAAGAGTATTTGATACATTTCAAAGATGTCTTCATAAATGTCCATATCTTATTAAAAAAATTCTGGCAAATCAACAATGGTCGAGCAGAAAATTTAAATGATTTGAGATGAAATTAGTATTCAACTGTGTCGGTGTACTTCTACAGATGACCTGTGGGGGCAGCAACGCACCTCTGCTGCCTCCAGTCTGCCGCAAATCTCGCGAGAAGAAGACAAGCAGCCGCTTCACTCATGTGTGGCTGGAGGACGGTCGTGTTGTCAACGAAATCAACATTTCAGCTGCTGAGGTAGCGATGAGTTCAGTTCGGAATCTGAGAGAGTTGATCAACGAGCGACTAACTGCTGCTGCTGAAGAAATATTCGCAGAGTTTGAAAAAACCATCGTCCAGTACGAGGAAGAGATCGATCGTCAGCGCAGACTGCTGGATAACATCTGGAAACCACAGATACCGTTACACACCATGGGTATGTAGAACTGTGATGGTCTGGGTGAACTGTGTGTCAGGATCAGAGTTTAGAAACATGACATATACCTGGGAGCTAACAAAGACAACACAGTGGGCAGACTAGCATGCTAACGGGGTTAGCTGTCAAAGCTAATGTCAGTGTAGATTCTCAGTCATCCAGGTCGTTGTAATGGGAAGAGCAGTTGGGATTTATTAGTTCTTAAAGGCGTTTCACCTTCGTCTAAGAGTATTCTTTGGTTCTAACTGACTGATGCAGAGTCCCACATTTATAATATCATGGTTAACATTTATTAACAACCCAAGACGGACAAGCCTGGAGGTGTGAATGGTTGTGAAGCTGACAGGTCAGGGATGGCTCAAGCTGTTAATGATGTGAAACTTTCTGGAACGAGCTCTCAAGACTGCATGGAGGTGATAATTGGTGTCGTAAACCTCCTCTTCTGTTTAGAGGTGCCTCTTGCAGTTTAACGTATATGGCTTCCATCGGTCTACTCTGTCCTGAACGTGGACTGTTATCCCTCAGGTGCAGGAGGACTCCAGAGGTCTGTGCGCTGCTCACTGCATTGGACTACATGTCCAGTGTTGCTCAGATTGTGTGTTGGTGTTTTATTCCCAGGATAAACCAGCTTTTGTCTCATAGTGTGGCTTTGTCTGAAGTGCATCACTGTTGTGTTTGGAGGAAATCCTTCAAAGAGACACAAGGGATAGCAATAATGTTTTGCCTGTTTTTCTTTTCCTCTCTGCTGATGTATGCTGATGATATTGAATATTGGTGTGGTGGTAGCGTAAGTCAATACGAAGACTTTCAGAATAATGTAAAAAAAAAAAATTAAAAATGTTGAATTAAGAGAAATGAGCTGTTTTATTCTAACAATGTAAAATAAAAAAAAATATTAGTAGCCAAAAAGGCAACACAATGGTTTTTCACTTTTGCACACTTTAAATTTCAATGGATGTATGAGTGGCATGTTTGCCCTGTAGAGCCCTGCTAATGGATAACACTGGAGTGGATTTGTTGTTCTGATGTGTTCATCGTCACATTAATAACCTTATTTTTGTGTTCCTTTCATTCCAGACCTCCCACAGCAATATGTAGATGCAGAAGGACAGGTTCTCGCTGAGCAGGAGCTCTGTTACCAGGGGAGGATCTCCGGTCTGGACCAGGGGGGACCAGAGATTTCACATGTTAAAGAGGAACAGGAGGACCTGTGCACGAGGCTGGACCAGTACGATGCAGTGCCTCCACAGACTGAAGAACAGGAGGGGCTCTGCAGCAGTACAGACCGGCAGGATCCAGAGCCTCAACAGATTAAGGAGGAACAAGAGGAACTCTGCAATAGTTCAGACCTGGAGGATCCAGAGCATCCACTGATTAAAGAGGAACAGGAGGAATTTTGCAGCAGTCAGGACGAACAGCATGTTGGACTGAAGCAGGAGATTGACATCTTTATGGTGACGCCTACTTATGAGGAAAGTGACCACAGTGGACCAGAACCAAACAGTGAACTGATTTTCTGTCACAACTCTCCTGTAGCTGAGAGCTCAGATCATGAAGGAAACAAGCATGTAGAACCAGGTAGAAATGCAGAGCTGGAGCCAAAGATGAGTGACACTGACACAGGGAAAAAGTCCATAAAGTGTGATGTTTGTGGAAAAACCTTTAAAGATAATTACCAAATGAAAATCCATCACAGAATCCACACAGGTGAGAAGCCATATGCTTGCAACTATTGTGGAAAAACATTTAATCAAATTTATTTTATGAAATTACATGAAAGAGTCCACACAGGTGAGAAGCCATTTTCTTGTGAAACATGTGGGAAAAGTTTTAGTTGTAATGCTCACTTGAAAGTCCACATGAGAATCCACACAGGTGAAAAGCCGTATTCTTGCAAAGCATGTGGGAAAAATTTCAGAAGTAGTGATCAATTGTCTGTCCACATGAGATTCCACACAGATGTGAAGCCATATGAATGCAACACTTGTGGGAAAAGATTCCATCAGATGTCAGCCATGAAAATTCACAAAAAAACTCACACAGGTGAGAAACCGTATTCTTGCAAAATATGCGGGAAAAGTTACACTCAGTGTGGTAGTTTATTGCGCCACATGAGAACTCACACAGGTGAGAAGCCTTACTTGTGCAGCACCTGTGGGGAAACATTTACAGATGCATCAACACTAAACAATCACATAAGAACTCACACAAACGAAAAGCCACATTCTTGTGAAACTTGTGGGAAAAGTTTCAGTTTTAGCTCTCACCTCAAACTTCACATAAGAACCCACACAGGTGAGAAGCCTTACCTCTGTAACACTTGTGGGAAGAGATTTACTGACTTATCAGCATTAAAAAAGCATGTGGCAGTCCATACAGGTGAGAAGCCATATTCTTGTGAAACATGTGGGAAAAGTTTCACTCAAAAGAGTAACTTGACTGTCCACATGAGAACGCACACGGGTGAAAAGCCTTACTCCTGTAACACCTGTGGAGAAAGATTTAGTCTCGCATCAGTGTTAAAAAGTCACATGAGAAAGCACACAGGTGAGAAGCCTTACCTCTGTAACATATGTGGGGCAAGATTCGCTGAGCTATCTGCTCTTAAAAAGCACACAGCAGTCCACACTGGTGTGAAACCGTATTCATGCGAAACCTGTGGGAAAAGTTTCAGTCGAAGTGACAATTTGGCTGTCCACATGAGAACTCACATAGGTGAGAAGTCATAGACAGAAAGTGCAATAACTTTATCTCCTTCTTTGTTGGAAAGATAAATGACATGAGGCAACATAACTAGAATATTTTTACAACATAAAAAATAGGAGGTGTTTCAGTGCTGCAGCTCACCTGGTGGGGTTGAGGTTAAAGCGTGATATGATATAGTTTTATCAATGCAATTCTCTCTTATTGAACAGTTGTATTTTAGAGGTGGGAAGTAACTGAATACACTTACTCAAGTACTAAGCATCATTGTCCTTATAAACCACAGATTACATCTAAATTGCACACAAATTTAATTTTAAATACTTTAAGATTAATTTTCAGATTGTTGTAATTAAAGTCAGCTATTTTTTGTTAATCACATTTCTACTTCACATATTACACTGGCAAATACTAGATTTGAAATGAGATTAGTTGACTGCTATACTTTGCAATGCATTTATGAGAGAAAATGTCTAGTTAAACTGTATTTAAGTGTGACAAGAGTCAAGATAAACCTCGACCAGCAGCCACAAAAAAATGTTTTTAGTTGAAGGTGGAACTAAAACATGTTGCACTGCCTCTGCTGTTGTCTGTGGAATGTTTATCGCTATTGTAAAAGTGAAGGGAGAATTTTCTTTTGGAAATTTGAAATTGAAAATGAATATATTAAATGTGTGCTTGCAATGTTGTACATTGTTTTTAATGCAATCAGTGACGGCTATTTCCATCATTACATCTGTCATGTTCTAATATTTTCTCCAGTACTTTGTGAGGACATTGGATGTAGTTTTTTGTCACAGCAGACCAGAAATACCATTTTGATCCTCTGATTCAAAGTAAGTGCTATTCATATGAATGTTGTTGTATTAATTTAAACATTTGAGTATTTCCAAAAAACACATTGCCTGAGGTCACAGTCCTTAGTGCTTTAGGACAAAAAAGCAAAACTTGTTTTTGGTTTGCTCAAATCTAAAGGTTAAGGGACACTCCTTTGAGGACAACAATGTCCACAGACAGAGAAGACAGATGCACTGAAAGAAGAGTGAAGGAAGCTTCTATGTTAAACTGGTACAGTCATCTTGATCCACCTGACTGCTGTCCCATACTTTCCCGGTGTAGTGAGCGGTAACTGCTGCTTCGGATGGTGACGACATGAGGCGAACGCAGGACTGAAGGTTCAGGTTAGCAACTGCCAGTCGTAAAAATACCTGTAGCATTTTTTTCCCCCATAAAAGAACGTTGGGTGAGCATCAAGAAAAATTTGCCAAAATTATGGCCGGGGAACGCTCGCAAAAGAATTGCAGCGTATGTTACTTGAATGTTTAGTGGTTTGCTGGGATGGCACTGAAGGGTGGGTTTTACTCTGAGTCGCCAGATCTGGATTGCTGGTATAGACCGTCCACTATGCATCTTCTCCCCTTCCGTTTTACAATCACTTCACTCCGGAAAAATAAAACAACAACCTCCAAGCTGCAATCTACAGACTGAAAACTTCAGGCTTTGCAGGAGATTTGGATTGTGCAGTAAGGCAGCCCTGCTCGATGTTTCTTTTTCGGTAAATTGTCTATTTTTAAATTTAAACATTTCAATAAAAAAAATTTATTCATCACTGTCCTTGGCTTAGCGCCACCAAAAATGATTGTGATTGGTTTAAAGAAATGCAAACAAGGTAGAGTATTGTTTTACCTGTTGCAGAATGGTGATGAGGTGCAGTCAGACCATTCTGTGCTGCAGAGACGAGGCCAGAGTTAAAAGTAGAAATTTATCATACTATGCCCCCTGAAGGAATGTGCATCGGTGGGCAAAAAACGGTGAATCACACTTCAATTGAAAACGTTCACACAGAAGGAAGCCTCTTGTCAGCAGGTCATTCACTAAAATCAATGTGCAGCAAAGAACACTGTAAATTAATTAAATCGTTGTAATAAATTGGATTCTACATGAGGATTTAACCGTGCCAATTAAATTCTACAACGACCTGTGGAGGGCAGCAACACGCCGCCGCTGCATCCAGTCTGCTGCAAACTTTATTGAAGACGACGAAGAAGAAGACACCCGGAAGAAGTGAACTGAAAGCGCTAGCAGCGTTAGCTTTACTGATGTGCGGAAGTTTTTAAAAGGCGGTTGTGTTATCGTGTTGCATGTAGATATTCCAGTGGTTGAAGTGACAATGTCTTCGGTTCAGTATCTGAGAGAGTTGATCAGCGAGCGACTAACTGCTGCTGCTGAAGAAATATTCACAGAGTTTGAAAAAACCATCGTTCAGTACGAGGAAGAGATCGATCGTCAGCGCAGACTGCTGGATAACATCTGGAAACCCGAAATAACGGTACACACTATAGGTATGTAAAACTATAATGGTCTGAATTAATAAGATACAGGAGGAACTGACCGAATTAAAAGATCACCGCAGAGTTTAGAAACATGGGCTGTAACTGGGAGCTAGCAAAGAGCACAGACTCACAGCCAACAGGCTAACACGCTATTGTAGCTAACTAACAAAGCTAATACTACGTGAACTGCTGTATGTCACGACGAAAAGCTGCAAAGCTAAGAGAAAACAGGACATGTATTTGTAGTTTCCTTGCTACCATGGCTGTGGTTAGCCTAGCCATCGTGGCCAGTCTGTCTAATCAATAACAGAGAGCTAGAACCATCAATCACTTGCTGTTAGTTTTGTCTGAATCAAAATTGACATTTGAAAGACTGTGCTTTTCCAGAATTAAATGTATAAATGTTTAAAATCCAGCCTATTCTGTCCGATACACAAGTGAGGATCTTCATATCAAAGTTAATGATGTCAACCAGAGTTCAGCACTGCCTATATGCACATGGTGAGAGATGTAAATAGAGGATGTGTTGGGATCACACATGAACTACAGAAAGTGCACATGCGGAGTTGGATATATAAAAGTAATGCTTTCAACTTCAACTAAACCCAGGTAACGGATATAATGTTACTGATTATTAAAGCAAGTTGTGATGTAGAGACAGTTTTTACAAGTATGTAGTAGTATGTTAGAGATAAATTGGCAAGGAAAAATGATGAGTCATTGTTTATTACATTTCCAGCAATGTCTTTGACAAACTAGCAATTTACATCGCTAAACTCCGCACCACCGTCTGCTCAGCTGTGATGCATGGTCTGCTGCATGTGCTGCAGACAATGGAGAGCTGCTCTACTGGACAAACTATGTGAAGGCACCATTTCTAAATTACTTGAAGCATGTTCTTCTGCACCCTGGTGTGTATAAAGGGGAAAAAATGTTTTTGTATCGGACAGCATATACAGATATAAATATATCTGTGACAAGCCAATATTGGCTGACCAGTTCTAACTACCATGCTCTGATGCACCTGCAGAGTTGAACCCTCACCTACAGCAAAGTAAAAATGTCCTGACAGGTTTGATGCTACTCAGGGCTCATGAGAACCACAGCTTTATTCCAACAGATTTGACTGGATATGTACAAACGTATCTGTGTGATATGTAGGAAACTACTCAGTGCTGTTTGCCATTAGATCCTTAGTGATCCTGTGGCATTAGGGGCTAATATGTGCTTGAAGATTCCCAATATTTTAGAGATACTTATATCAGCCTTCCTGAGACTGCTGTGTTTATTAATAAGATTCTAATAGTTTATCCATCCTCTTAGTATGCTGTCATTAATTGAAGTCATGGAAATACTGTTGGTGAACGACAGCAAATTTCACGGGCTGTGATTTCTAGGATCAACTAAAAAAAAAGAAGCTGCTGCCTGGATGTTTTGTACACTGAGCTTTGCTACCAGAGTCAGAACAAATCATTTGTCACATTTCCACTACATGCTCACACTTTAGATTCCAGCTAATGGTTTAAACTAGAATATTTTTGCTCAGATGTTTGTTTTTTCATCATTGCATTAGTCACCTTTTCTTGTGTTCCCTTGTCACCCTAGGCCTCCCACAGCAGCATGTCTGCAAACAGGAGGAGGTTCCTGCTGACCAGCAGCTCTCTAATGAGGAGAGAAACTCCAGTGTGAACCAGGAGGAGCCAGAGCCTTTGCAGATTGAAGAGGAGCAGGAGAAACTCTGCACCAGTCTGGACCAGCAGGACCCAGAACTTCCACAGATTAAAGAGGAACAGGAGGAACTTTGCACCAGCCAAGAGGGAGAACAGCTTATATTAAAGCTGGAGACTGATACGTTTTTAGTGACTCCTACTTACGAAGAAAATGATCAAAGTGAACCGGAACCAAACAGTGACCAGCTTCTCTCTCACAGCTCTTCTACAGCTGAAAGCCCAGATCAGGAAGGAAGCAAGCATTCAGAAAACTCTCCCATGTCAGAGAGTCACTGTCATACTGACACAGGGAAAAAGAAAGTAAAATGTGACGTTTGTGGAAAAGCCTTTAAGAAGAACTGTGAAATGAAGAGACATTACAGAATCCACACAGGTGAGAAGCCATATATTTGCAGCACCTGTGGGAAAAGATTCAGTGAGGTATCATCATTTAAATACCACAAAAGAATCCACACGGGTGAGAAACCGTATTCTTGTGAAATGTGTGGCAAAAGTTTCAGAAGTACTGATAACCTGTTGGTCCACATGAGAACTCACACAGGTGAGAAGCCATATTCTTGTCAAACATGTGGGAAAAATTTCAGCCGAAGTGGTCATTTGTTGGGCCACATGAGAACTCACACAGGTGAAAAGCGGTATTCTTGTGAAGCGTGTGGTAAACGTTTCAGTCAAAGTTGTAATTTGTTGCGCCACATGAGAACTCACACAGGTGAGAAGCCGTATTCATGTGAAAACTGTTGGAAAAATTTCGCTCAGCGTGGCCAATTGTTGCGTCACATAAGAACTCACACAGGTGAGAAGCCTTACCCTGAAACACCTGTGGAGAAAGATTTAAATATGCATCAGCACTGAAAAGCGACACAAGTACTCAAACAGGTGAGAAGTTGTAGTCCTGAAACATCTGTGGAACCAAGCTTGAAAAACATGTAAGAATTCATTCAGGTTAAAAGTATTCATTTCAGATTAAGAGCGCCTACAGATTGTGTTTCAGCAACGATGGGAGTTGATTGCAATGCACACTGTAGGAGATGGTCTAATGAAACCTGGTTTCTATCTGTGCCAGATTGTCCAATCAATTTGAAGCTGTCAAACTGTCCAGTGAACACATGGTGACTCTTACAGAAGCACAATGCATTTGCAAAAGGAAGAGAACTGGAGACCTCACTATTAATTCCATGTTGGTTATCAATGTGTACCAAACTTGAGAGGACAGGGAAACTGGTGCTACCTGATTAAAAGTGATGGAGTCGAGCTCAATCTTTGGAAAATATCATGTTAAGTTCATGTGTGTACATTAGGTGCGGTCCTGTTCATTTTGTTAAAATCTGATGTTTTTCTGTGGTGGTTCTTTGCAAACTTTTTTTTTTTATAAATAAAGATATAAAATCAGTTTCTGTTTTGTATCAGATGCAGCTTTTTATAGGATGAATCAATTTAAAAATTCAACATGCATGAATTTATGGCTGTTGTTTAGTTGTTAACTGCATTAGCTTCTCTTCAGGACAGTCCAAGGTTGGAGGAAATATGGTTGCAATCATTATTTGATGGATGTACTGACCTGCGTTATGATGTGTGCAAACTCACAATCAAAGCACAGAACTGTTTTACTTCTTCACAGTGATAATTTGAAGAAAATCTATCTGCAGAGCCATCACATAATCAGATGATTCTGTCATGAAACTATTTAATATTGTCACACAGACAAACCACATCTGATCCCACTTTTCTATACAGGTTGTTTTTTTGTTGGAAAACCAAAGCAGTCATCTTCCTGGAACATTAAGAAGACATTCAAACACTGTGGCAACTTTAGAAAATGGAACACAGATAAAATGATTTAGTCTCAAACGTGAACAAACAGGTAATTTTTTTAATTTTCTAATGGACAAACAGAGAAATCTGTCAGTGACGACAAAATACGAAAACGAGTGAAGGAAGTGATTTTATTGTTGGGGTTGAAAATTCATCACACATGCAAACAGCAATGTCGAAGCCGTGTATCATCAATATTTTATTAGCAAACCAGAGAGAAGTTAACAAAAAAAATTAACTGAAGAAACTGAACAATCTGTGTTTCTGTACAGGTCCAAATATACTACAATATATACTATTATACAACTGGATTACAGTTCATGTCATTAGTACAGCAGCCACAAAGAAAAAACTTCAAGTGTGTTACAGCAGTGTCGTCTGATCTGAACAAACTTTTCTTCCTTCTGATTCGTCCAGCCGACCGGTTTCCTCTCTGACTGACTGACTGATGATCAGGTTCAGTTAATATGAGTATGCTACGCTAACGTTCCCTCTTTTTTTTTCCTCAAACAAAGTGCTAAGTCTTACATTTGTTCACCTCAATGGCAAATTTAACCTCAGAGCTGAAAGATACAATTAGGATTCACAGTTTGAAATTGAGATTTTTGCCCAAACCAGAAAACAAAATGTCAAACTGAGATTTTTCAGGTCAAATATGAAGAGCTCAGTTAAATAAAATATAAAAAAAACCAGCTAGGCAAAGGTAAAACAAGGTAAAACAGACAGATAAAATAATCGAAATGTATAAAATTCACAATTTTTAAGGCCTAATGATGAAGAGTTTGTCCAACAGGATCATTTGTTGTCATTTCAAGAGCAACATGGAGATGTGAAGAAACAATTTGTTGGCAACAAAAAGTGTAAACTGACTTTTGTCTTTGTCATTTTAAAGCAAGAGTTTGACTGTTTGGGGAATATGTTTGCTTATTTAGATGAGAAGATTGAAACACTCACAGGTCTGCCACAATCACATGGTGGTTTCACACTGCAGATTAAGCAAATTAGATGTAACCTGTCAATCAGGGAGCCCTACAGTTGTAAAAAGTAGGATTTACTGAGCCAGTTTCCAGTCTTTATGCTAAGTTAGGCTGGACAGCTGCTCATATTTACCACACAGACATGAGAGTGATCTCAATCTGACTAACTGAACAAGATAAAGAAGCATTTTTTTCCCCCAAAATGTGAGAAAAAAAAGAACACAAGAAAACATGTCGAAAACAACTGCAGATTTCATTACAAGCATCTAATCACAACTTGAGAAACATTCGGGGACTGGGGGCAGAAATTATCCAGTGGATTTCCGCTAAACTCAGAAGCAGCATCGAATGGTTTGGCCCTGTGGTCACCTTCCTGAAATCTGGGATTATTAGGTTTGGTGACTCAAGTAGAAGGACAAGACTGTTCATATACTTGTAGCCACATAGTGTTGTTTGTACCTGCAGGTTGTAACGTCTCTGAGGACATTTCTTTCAAACATGCATGGGTTGTGTTTAAAAATCTGCTGCTTATCTGCATTTACGCCTATGTTGTTCTGACAAAAACAAATATATGCGTCAACATTAAACATAAAGCCCCTAAAAACTGTGATTAGATGCTTCTAAAGACGTCTTGTTGATTGTCTTTTCTTTCTACAGCTGCAGAAGTCAAGCAGTGAGTCTGTAAATCAACACAAAGGTATGATTCTCGCGTGTAGTATTTCTATATTTAGATTTGGAAGTTCAGTAAAATCTTTTGCATAGGATCATAGCACAAAGGCCTGTGGAGGAGTTTTCTACACCAAACATTAGATCCACAAGCTGCTTTTAAATTGGACTTAAAAATTTAACCTGGTTTATCTTTGGCCACATTTTGAGTTTTGAAGAAGCTGTTGAGCCCAAAAGAAAGCAAAGGTACATTAGTTCTGTTGAACTGAAGCAGTATTCGACCACTGCTTAGGAGCACAGCGAAGAAAACCTCATAAGAAGGTTTTTTTTTTGTTTTTTATACACTTAAGCCCCATTCAGATGGGATGGTGATGATAAAATACAGGAGGAAAAAAAAACATTAAAATAAACAGATGGGATTGAAATTTAAAGAAAAACAAGGTGGGTTTAGTTGTGTCTTCCACTGGGGAGGAGGTGACAGATTACTCACATGGCAGGTAACATTAAAACCTCCACCTCTCTGGAGACAGAAATCCCATCTAAACAGGGCTTTTAGGTTGTTTCTACTGGTCACAACAGAAACAATCACAAGTAAATGCTGTGCTGTTGATGACTTACGAAACTCTTTGCACTTTGATAGTTTTTTCTTTAACAACCCAACCTGGTTACACACATACGTTTTGTCATTTTTTGATGCAAAGCACCTCCTGACTGGAACAGACTTATGACTTGCTTAGAAATTCACTTTTAAGAGTTTCTCCACAAGGGGAGCTGTTTCCCGACTCTCTGACCTGAACGCCTGCAGCACCAACCTGCAACACCGGTGTGTTCCCTTTAGCGAGAGAGGAGCCTATCTTTTTTTAAATCACAGATCTGTCAGAGCGATCGGGGTTTGTTGTGTTATTAACTGGTAACTATGCCACAGAAAAAGAGCTGGAGCGTGATTAGAGTTGTGGTGGGCCAACAGACTTGACTATGATGGCATCGCAGAATGTGCACAACTTTAAACCCTAGTACAACTTAAACCGGGGAATTCTAGAAGATTTTACTCCTGTACAGTTGCCAGAAATGGTAAATTAGCTACAGAGACCAAAACTTGTTTTTTTGAATGAGGCTATGAACACATGTATTCCTTCTGTGAAGTTGGATGTTTTATCATGGGTGTGTACGGTGACTGACTCGATTTTGGAGCCTCAGGTGTACATTCAAGGAACTGCAGGTTTTGGCACTTTATTCTTCAGCCCTGCAAGTTGCTGCCTTGCTTGGCATAAAGACTGCTTTTTTAATGGCGTGCATGCTCCACCTAGTCAGAGTACAGCAGGTGTGGTGTGGTAATGGTGCAGACCTGCATTTCCAGCTTCACGGCTCAGTGCGTTCTCTTTCAGAATTTCTTGAAAGGTGATAAAAGAGTTGCTTTTCTCAGTATTTAATAAGATAAATGTCTTTTTTGTTTTTTGGTTTTAAGATAACTTCGTTGGCAAAAACTTCCGCTTTGCTGTGACTGTGTTTTAGTAGCTGTTACCACATACTGTAAACCAACGATGGATGCAGCCTCCGGGCCTGAAAAGTGAATCCTGCGCTGAAATGCCTTAATCCTCTGAACCCAAAGCAGCTTCTGGGTGTTTTTTCTCTCGTCACATTTTCACTCGCTGTGGGCTCATTTTTCACTACAATAAGAAGTCCTGTACTTCAATGGAAACAACACAGCCAAGAAGAAGGCCAGGGAGTTTTTAGTTTGTTTTTCAAAACCTAGAATCAACATGTACAATTTTTTTCCCAGTGCCCACAAGTGTCACCAACAGTGGATAGCAAAATAGTGGCTTTAGGAAATATAGATATTTATACTTACATTTTTACTTTGTTTCCACTAGTCTCCGCTGTGCTCTGTGACTATACAGCCTGCAGCTCAGCTAAAAACTTTAAATTGTGGCTGTTAGTTGCAGTTGAGTCAGTCGTGACTTCCCAGCTGTGACGAGAAGCACAGAATTCTTAGTTTGTTTGTTTTTTACAGGATCTGGTGCACTTTATTTATGGCAACTTTTAAAATGTGAATACATTGTAAATTCTATGATTTTAAACTTTGCTAATGAAACTGTACCTCATAAAATGTTGACTCAAAAGTGTTAGAAGGCTGAAAAATCTTTCTTTTAAATTTCTGAATTATACAAATAGTATAATTTGGGCATTTTTTTTTAAAGATAACAAGCCTTTTGACCCCGCCGGCGGGAGTTGGGGTTCAGAGGTTTAAGTAGTAAATACAACTTCTATTCAGAAGCTTAAAATGTAATATATAAAAACCTCACACACAAACCCTTAAAACACAGCTATAAAAGAGAAAAAAAATGCAGCTGGATCACTCTTTAATTTTTAATCCTCAAAAATTGCATTTACTACCTCTCCGGGGTGCAGGTTGGTCTGAAGCGTCAAATCCATGACACTGTTTTCATCTGTAACATTGAACTTGAAGTGGTGACTGTTAGAGGGGCAGAATATTACATCTCAGGTCAAGAAGGAGTCAGACAATCAAGCAAACACAGATCCAGAGTTCTCTCTGCGCTCCTCAGACAGACAAACAGACGGTGGAAAAGCAGATTTCATTGACGAAGGCGTTGATGCGTACGGAGGCCGGTGCACATTTCAGAGCGTGCACTTTGACGGAAGCATGGTTGCAGACCGCTACGCTGCCGGCGGCCAGCAGATCTCCTCCTGGTGGCCGATTAAGACTCAGAGGATTCTTCTATCTACAGGAATGCGTCTCACACAGGAATCTGACCGGTTTGTCCTCCCCGGATGTCGGTGCTTGTTAATAGCGAGAGGATTACATGTCTGCAGGTGGGAATCAAGGAGCTAAAGATACAATCCTGTCACCGCACAGATGACTGCGATATACTGCAAGACAGTCGTTTACAATACTTCATCAACTGAAGAGAAAAACTTATTCCAACGAGGCAAAGTAACTTATTTAAAAGCCGGAACCAATCCTTTACTGTTTTGACTACTTATGGAGTTGCGTCGACAGCTGAGATGAGGGTGGGTAGCAAAGTGCATACAGTGTAAACACACACACACAGCCACAGCTTCAGTATTGATCTGTGAGTATTATTGATGTATCGCAGACAGTGTGTTGCAGTATATCACCTTACTGATTATTGTCCCACCTGGAGTCTGCAGTGGAGAGGACGGTCGACCCGCTCTTTAGTCATGCAGTAAAGACAACGCAACACGATGAAGACCAAAGCTTTAGGATCCGACCTGAGGCGTTATGACCCACAGATGGCGGCCAGGCGGGGCGGGGGCGGGGTGGTGCTGGGGCTCAGGACTGATCAGGAGTGATCCATGGGTTCAGTGGTGTTGCTCTGCCCGGCATCCTGGCTATCCATCTCCTCTGGTTCTTCGACCTTCTCCTCTGGTTTGCTGGCTGCTGTCGCGACCGCTGCAGCTACAGGTTCAGCTGTAGTCGCTGGCTGGCTCGTGGCCTTCTTAGTGCCACCTGTCCGGTCCTGGCTGGCCCCGCCCCCTGTGGCAGTAGTGCTCTGTTGCTCTCTCAGGTGGCGCTCCATGGAGGCCTGGATGGACGAGACCATTTCCTGCAGCTTCCTCCGCTGCTGCTCCATCAGGCTGGGGTCCAGGCCGCGACCATCCTTCATAGTTACGAAACCCGGAGCCATGCGGACCAGCTCCCTAGTGGCGTCCTCGGGGATGTCCGACAGGTCTGGGGGTCCTCGGGAAACGCTGGCGCTCAGGTCCACGCCGCTGCTGTGCTGGCGTGTGATAGGCCGGTGTTCGGGAGGGGAGGAGCCTCCTGCGCTGCCCAGAGAGTGGCCTTTACCCTGGAAGGCAGTGACACTCTGCAGCTGCTCCTTCTTGCGGACAACGCCACCGCTGCCCAGTCGCAGCACGCCGTGGGACGGACTCCCCTCTCTGCTGCCCCTGGATGCCGCCTCCGAGCGCAGCTGGACGAGCGCCTCCTTTACCAGCTCCTCCACTTCAGGGCCGACGGGGAAGTGACCGGCTGCGTCCACACAGAGCTCCAGACGCTCCTCTGCTGCGTTGTAAACGAAGGTTTTCCCTGCCAGGTGAGGCAGCGTGCAGTGCTTCCCATCCATCAGGCCTGAAAGAGAAGATGACCACAGACTGTTTAGGACATCAGCACATAGATTCATTAAAACCATTGTTCGAGCAGCTCTCCCTTTCTAGAAGGAGAAGAATTAATACAAAAATCTTCACTGATAGTGCTGTTCTCACCTCTTCTTCTGCTATTGTCTAATGGACAATTAGCGCCACCTGCTGTTCATATGCTTCAGTGGTAGTGGATGAATGGAAACAAGCCTTCACTCAAATTTTTTGGATGATTTTCTGGAAAATCCATTGCTGCATTTTGGCAACTTTGTGATGATAGTAAGAAATACGAATAAAACCTACTGTTGTCTTGTGTAAAGTAAATAAATAAATCATTTTCACAATTTTTATTAGCATTTATGATTATAAATTATGCTCTGCTTGCTTTGGCAGCAGAAACAGTCGGTCACTACTTGTTATGTGCATCACGTATTTGTACAAGAAAACAAACAAAAAAAATCCTCAGTTTTTAATTAAAGACAGGCTATTTAATAACCGTCTCACTTTTTATCAGCCTCGTCTAACTTTATAAATTAGATTTTTTTTCTGGGGTTTCTAGACACATAAATCTATTCCCTCCTGTTTTTGTCATTATAATCACATTACACTAATGACGTTGCATATAATCAACAAGTCTTTAAACTAAGATGAACCCGGACGTAGTCGTAGGTAAACACACAGTTAGCAAAACTATCTTCATGATATCCCTTTTTCAGGGTGGCTTATGTAAACCTAAAAGAGCCCGACTAAGCTGAATTCAGGGTTACGAAGTTCACTGTGACACTCCTGGTCAGTGGTCAGATGTCTGTCCTGTACCTACACAGTATTAATGATACAAGAGGCTGCTTCATTAAGAGTTTTGTTTTTACAGGGTCTGCAGAGAACGCAGTGTCAAAACAGATGTCTCGAGGCTACTTAGCATCAGTATATTTGAAGTTGTAATTATTTTTGAATCTAAGCATCTTTAATTATCTTTACTTTGCTGCCAGAGCAGTGTGTTTTTTCTGTCGGAAGTCTTTTGCATGTTTTAAAGGGAGATGAGACTCCATATTTGATTCTTATTGAGTAAAACAACAAACGACAAGGAACTGATCACACTAATAAGCCCTTGACGTATCTTATTTCTTTGTTGTACAAAACCTATTAAAAACACATAGGAAAGTAACATATTTCTGTCAGGGCTGCAGCTAACAATTAGTTTCACTCTGGTTTAGTCTGTGGATGATTAACTGATTAACTGGTTGGCCTCTAAAATGTCAGAAAATGGTGAAAAATGTGGATCAGTGTTTCCCAAAGCCCAAGATGGCCACAACCCAAATATCACTATTTCGTTCACTGTCATAGAAAAAGAAAGAAACGACATTCACTTTCACATTTAAGAAGCTGCAAAAAAAAAACAAAAAAAAACTTTGTTCTTCAAAAATTACTGAAAGCATTTATCTAAATGGCTTGGAATTTTTTGATTAATTGTTGCGACTCAAGGTGGCTCAGTGGTTAGCACCGTTGCCTTGCAGCAAGAAAGTCACCGGTTTGCCCCCACCGGGATCTTTCTGCGTGGAGTTTGCATGTTCTCCCCGTGTAGCGTGGGTTCTCTCTGGGTTTTCCGGCTTCCTCCCACACAAACACATGTCCAAAAACATGTTGAGATTAATTGGTGATTCTAAATTGTCCGTAGGTGTGAATGTGAGTGTGCTTGGTTGTCTGTCTCTAAGTGTAGCCCTGTGATAGACTGGTGACCTGTCCAGGGTGTCCCCTGCCTTCACCCTAAGTCAGCTGGGATAGACTCCAGCCCCCCGTGACTCTAGTGAGGATTAAGCGGTATATAGATAATGGATGGATGGATGTTGCAGCTCTACTTTCTAACATCTCAAAAGATTAAAAACAGCCATCACTTTCTCCAATTACTGAGGGAATTTGGATGACACATTTATTTACTGATTCTAAATTCAGTGTTGGACACACAACCAATATTTGTTAGTTGGATCAATACATTGTTGTTTTGGGTCTTTTCATGATATTTGCTGAATCACTGTGGGCTCTTTTTTTTTTTTATCACAATGTAAAGTCCTGCACTTTTATGAAAACAGTACAACCATGAAGAAGGGGAGAACACTGAAAAATGCATTCAGTGCAGTATGACACAATTAGAGTGCCATAAATCACAATATAGAAAAAAAACCAATTAGTTTCTTTTCTTTCTTTCTTTCTTTCTTTCTTTCTTTTTTTTTACAAAAATTGAGAAAACCTCCAATCCACATGTACATGGGTTACTAATACGAGAAAAATAGTGGCTGTCACAATGTGGAACATCTGATGATTCTTTCTCTTTTTACGGATTCTTGCTGATAAATGGTGTCATTCTGCCAACTTTTAGAGATAATGTGCTTTCCAAACCTGCTGGTTAGTACTAAGGTTTAGAAAACTACGTTTACATGTGTTTTACATTCATATAAGAAAGATGAGTATAACCTGATGGGTGTAAGATTAAATAGCCAGTAAGGTATGCTGAGCCTAAAGCCAGATATGGCAGAATAGTGGCTTTCTTTTAACCTGCTAGATCACCATGGTAACAGATGCTGCACAGCTGCAGAATTTAAATTGGCTATAAGCGCCACTTTTTTACCAGCTGTTCTCCTCATCAGTTTCTCTGGAAGCGATAAAGATTCTCAGCTGAGGTTTTATCCACAACCCTAACCCTAACCTGTTGAGCTGTACGTTAGTAATCCCACTGAACAAAGGTGTGCAGTTACAGCAGGTAAACTGCATGTATTGCAACAGGAAACTACATGCACTCAGCTGGGGATGCAGAAAATGCAATAATCTGTTTTTATGTTGGGTCCTGATTTGCTGCCCAGCTTGTTTTACGCTGCTGGTCCTGCAGCTAATAGAACACAGATTAGAACATTTGAGAAAAAATTGCAAATATTCAGTAATTACCAATAATTTAAACTTTGATTTGGCAAGAAACTAAAGTGACTTCCATGTCTCCTGCGTTATGGAACAGTGTCCGACCTAAATGTTGATGTCTAAATTAACATAGTTTAAAGTTTCAGAGTTCTAATGTGCAGCTGTAAGTTGGAAGTAAGCAGCTGCATTGAGAATCACTGAGCGGGAATTTAAATATATTAATTTATAGCAAAAAAAAGTTTTCTTCCAGTATTCCTTTCTCTTGGCTTTTTATTAAAATATTTTTTACATTTTATTGACAGCTCTCGATTATAACAGGTAGGTCATATTGATTAAAGTAGGCAACATGCAATCAGCTCATTTTGTGTGAGAGAAGAGTCAAATGATGCATCTAACGCCCCTTTTAATGTGAGCTCACTCAGAGCCTCATGAACTAAACCTGGTTAACAAAGAAAGCCATGATATCCGTTATCTGTGATAGGAGTTTTAGGTTTTGTAGAGCCGGCGAACACATAGAAGCCTGGCTATGTCTAACCTGCTCTGTAGTCCCCCCCTGTCACAAGTCCCGATAAAAACAAACTCACCCATGTCTTTCTTGACGATGTTGTAGAAGACGCCACCCTGTTGGAATAAGTGCGGAAGCTTCTTTGCATACGACCAAACATCTTCACCTGGAAAAAAGACAAACATTTTACAGGTTATAAAGGAAGCAGTGGTGCTTAATTTTACTACAATTTTTTAGTTAACAAACCACTAGTTGATATATCTTTTTGTAATTACAGTCTATGTGAAATGAGGCCTGTTTTTTGTAGAAATAGCTGCACGATTTAAATACTTCTAAGAATGTACATTAAGTTGTTGCTGTTAAGTGGCCTGGGTGATGCAGCGGCTTTGAGTCCAACACGTGTACCACTGAAGTATAAATATATCTACCTATTTAACACATCACAACAATAACATGTGTCTGTGTCAGAGTGATAAGATGCAGCTTTAATAACACGTTACCACTGTGTAACATCAGACTGGCACACAGCATTAAAATAAACTCCTGACACAGTTAAATAAACAACTTCTGTGCCTCCTTCTTGCCGTGTTTTTCCCCTAGAGATCTGTGGTTTATAAGACTGATTTTAACCCTGACAAACCTAAAGCCCACTGGCAGGTTCGAAAAGCCTGTAAGCTTTTAAAAAGAAAATCACAAAACTCATACCATTTATTAGCCAGAAACTATACGATGGGTCTTGAGATGATGTATGACGAGCAGTTTTGTCAGAAATGTTAAATGAATCTAAATCTTTATCAAAACCCGAATATTCTTTATGCTTCATTGAACAATACAAAGCATTTACACAAGATTCTGTAAATATCTAAACATTCTGCACTCCTCTGCGCAACTGTGAAGCCACGACTGACTCAGCTGTAACCAAAAGTCATGTTACAAAAAAAAAATCTGAGAGTTTTCAGGTCAATTGCAGAAGTGTTTACAGAGAGGAGACAACAGGAGAGGAAAAAAAAACACACAAACTGGATGAATAAAATGAATGCAGCATGGCTCAAAAACAGTATATGGAGGCTCAAGTTGTTGGAAGATACATTCAAGAAGATACGTACAAGAGTTTGTAGAGGCTGTAAAAAACATTAATGGTAAGATATCTGTAGTATTGGTGACACCTGTAGGCACTTGGAAAATGGTATATATGTTCCAGGTTTTTAAATGTTTGTAAAAATAAATAAATAAATACAATTGTGTGTGATTTATAGCATTCTCAGTGTGTGATATTGCACATAAGACATCTCTGAATTTTCTCTACTTCTAGCCATAGTTGTGCTGTTTCCATGGAGGTGCATGACTTTTCCACAGGGTTAATTTAAAATGTTTAAAATATCACATTAGTACTGGAAAAACATCACATCGGTGCTCACTGATGGGATGAGCCAACTTTATGTTCATGTGCATGACTGTGCATTTTCTTTCTTTCTTTTTTTCCCCTTTCTTCACATACTTAAAAATTACATTTAACGTCAGGGTAAATTCAACGCAGGTACTACACATTTAAATGCTTAGTGATGCATCTGCTGACCGTCAGCTGTGTGAACTATCTGTGTGCAGACGCTGGCTGATGAGCGGATGTTTTGTTTTTTCTTGGACAGTAGGATTATCGAACGTGAGCCCTGAGCTAACGGGAAGTGCAGCGTCAGGCCGGCCGAGCGTTCAGAGTGCAGATGAAACCTTCCTGAATATCGACAGACGCTGTGTGTCACGCTGCCTGTTGGCCGGCTGATCTGTTTATCTGAACGCAGCCGCAACCTTTGACCCTGTTGGCAGGTGAGACGGGGCGGGACGGAGATGCCTTAGTCAGCACAATTACAGCACACATGCAGGCAGGCAGACATACACACACACACATGAACGCAGACAAACACACACAAACACACACAAACACACACACACACGAACGCAGACACACACACACACACACACACACACACACACACGAACGCAGACACACACACACACACACACAGTCTTTCTGGTAGTGTTCATGGCAGTTGATCAGAACCCTGGGAGCTCTATCAGCTGCTGAGTTGATACCTGCCGCCCGATATTTACCTGCGCACTGTGGCCAATCAGAAATCAGCGTGCATGTATGCTGCACACCTGGACAGGTGTACGTGAACAGAGGTTTTCTATTTTCCACTCGCAACCAGAAATAAAAATAAAACACAGTACAGCTCACTGTGCAGCAGATTCTGCTGTTCTGCTGCATTACCCCTCTGAACCCTTAAGTCCACTGGCAGGTTTGAAATGCATCTTATCTTTAAAGCAACCAAAAAATTAAAATCACAAAAAATGACATCCGGTAATTGTTAAGTCGGGAAATGAACTAAATCTAAGCCTTCTCAGAAAATAAGCTTTTCGACCAGATACTGAAAAACAACAAAAAAATGTGCTGCACACCAGCACAACTGAGAAGCCATGACTGGCTCAGCTCAGCAAAAAATTCAGAGAGTTTGCAAGTGAATTGCAGGCAGTGTTTATACAGAGCAAAGAGGAGACGACAAGAGCGACTGAGAGGAAAATGAAACATACCAGATCAATGAAATAAATGCAGCATGGCTTAAAAACGATAGGCAGAGGAGCAACTTGTTGAAGATACATTCAGCATGGTGAAACATGTTTCTGGAAGTGGCATGCAGAGTAGTGGGGGAAAAAGTCAAGAGTTTGTAGAGGTTGTAAAACCGTACACGTTGTTAAACATCTATAGCATATGAGGATAATTTATTCCAGTAATGGTAACACATACGGGGCACACAAATTCAACTCTTGCTGAGTCTTTTTTGCCGTGATTTATGACATTCTAACAAAGTCAAACTGCACAATAGATTTAGTGAGTTGTCTCTACTTCTCGCCATGTTACGCTGTTTCAAAAAGGGTGCTGGACTTTATGTTGTAGTGAAAAATGAGACTGTGGTAAGTAAAAAAAAATGTAACAGAACCAAAAACACCCAGAAAACTGCATGGGGTTCAGAGGGTTACACAAGAGCAGCATGAGAGCATGCAAAGTGAGAGGAAAGATACTAAAGGAAGCAAACAGATTCAATCCAGGTGGGAAAACAGATTAAGACACTCTGCGATTCATTTAAATATCTGACTCTAGAGCCAAAACAACACAAAGACCAAAATATTACTCCTTAACAACACATTTTAACTTGTAAATGAAAAAGCAGACCATCCTTACATGACCTTTATATTCACCTATTAACTGCCTTTATGACATTAATGATCAGGTTAACTGAAGATGTTTCCTGAAAAAATTCTGCTTCATTTACGACACTCAAGTCATTTTGAAAATCAATAAATCAAAATAAATTAATCTAAACTGCTGTTTACCACGTCTACACATGAAATTTCAACTGCATATTTTTTCTGGCTGCTTGAAAACTTTAGAAATAGCTCATATGTTGCACAGGTATATTCATATTAAGTCACATAGTGCTAGAACCTTTTTTCAGACGAAACTAAATTGTGGGTGTCTCAAATAAGAGGTTTCCTACAGCAACAATTTAAAGACACTCAGTCTCTTAAGTCAGATATTCACAATATTTTTAAAAATCTCTCAGTCAAAACTCGAACCGAATCCAAACGGCAGTTGGATTTGACATAAATTAACATCCTGACTAGTTGCAGAACACTAATCTGTGCTGTATATCTGAGCTGCTGCTGAAATATCTGAACAGCAGACCTATTTGATAACTGTCAATTTATCAAGAAACAATACCAAATATTAGTTAATGTGTTAACTTTTTAAATATTGCAGCCAATATTTTCTGCTTTTCTGCTCCATAGTAACGGCACAAGTCATTTTGAGTGCATTGCTTCAACTCGTTCACTTGTTAGTTGCAAAACAATCAACAGAACGATCAATAACAAGAGTGATCATTAGTAACAGACTTAGCCCAGCTGATAAAGTGACTTGCCTCCCATTACCTGAAAATCTCTGCATTAATGTCTGCCCTAAGAATTAAACTCTGTGTTTTTCTATCAGAAGTTGTATGTTGTATTGGAAGAGGCGGGAGACCTCAGGGGAGGCGGCCTACATGTCAAACTCATGTATTCTTACCCATCAAAGTTGCTAGGAGACAGAGGGAGGACATCTCAAGGTCGATGCTGTCCTGGAGTTCCCGGCTGCTCATCCTGCTGGACGCCACGGCATCCTCGCTCTTCACCGAGTGCAGGCCGGAATGCGAGCTGGAGGCTCGGGGTATGGAGGACGCGGGACTCTTGTCCTCGGGGCCCCTAAGTATCTCCACCGTCACCCTGTCGCCGTGCTGCAGTGCCACCGGCTCGTTCTCCTCACCGTCCTTCGGGGGGATCAGTTCTTTGGGAGGGAAGCCGTAGCGAATGCACTGCTGCGCTGGTGGCACACCAAACTGGTTGGTGATGCTCCTCTGCAGCTCTGAAAAGGTGGTGTGGGCCTGCAGGTTCAGCATGGCCTGCCTGCCGTCACTGGTGGTGACACGGATCTTCTTCTCCTTATTCGATGAAGATGGGGAGGAGGATTTGGTGGGTGTGGCTGGAGCTGAGGAGGAGGAGGTTTCTGGAGATCCACCAGGGGAAGATGTCCGGCCATGGCCTTTCTGCTCCTGTTTCAGTTTGTCAGTCCGTCGCTTCTGAGTGACGAAGGCCTGCTCGCTGATGCTCTGCTGGATGCTGCGCTCCGCCCGGCTCATAGTCAGCTCCTCTTTGTGAAGTGTCTTTGCTTTCTGACCTGTCAGGATGATCTTAGTGGGAGGCTGGGGATCTGCCACCTGCTGAATCTCTGTGGTGTCGGTGAGACGCTGCACGTGAGCCCCGTCGATGGACACTGGGTTGTATTCATCCGGGTTCTTCTTGGCGGTGTGATGCAGGATGGTGTTCACCACTTTCTGCACCAGGATCTCGCTGCCAAACTCCCCTGGGAAGTGCTTAGTGACCAGCTTCATAGCCACATCATACACATTGCTGTTCAGTGCCGAGTCAGTCTCATACTGGAACCAGTACACTGTCTCCCGCACCACCCGACCCCCCCACTCCAGCGTAATGGGGAAGGCCTCAGGCAGGTTGTCATACTCCTTCCCTTCCCAGTAATGCTTGAAGCCACACCCACACTTCCCACCCTGAGAGCGTGTGTTTGTTCTGTCCCCGTCAAGGTAAACCACCGACCCGTTTCCCCGGATGTGGCGGACTGATGTGCCATGACACCAGTTGCAGGTGTTGAGGGAGCTCAGTTTGTAATCTGGGACCAGGACGTCTCTCTGAGTGTCATATGAGCAGACCACATTGTTGAGGGGGAAGCTGTAGTTCTTGTCTGGCCGCAGTTGGCCGTGTGTGGATTTGGCTAAGTTGTAGAGCTTTCCACCAGGAACCAGCCACTCTGGAGGGACGTGGAGCTCAGAGAGGGCGCCGCAAATCAGGCAGCGGTGCAGCCGGTTCTCCATCACTGACTTCTTAGCTGCCTCCGTCACCTCCTCGGGCTGGATGCCGATCACACCGGTCCGTCTGTAGACATACTGGTGCACATCTGCCACCAGCGATGGGTGGATGCTGTGCTTCTCCATGAAAACCTCTTCCATGGCGTTGACCAGCCTCATCAGATATTTATCCTGCAAGCTTCGGTCGCCGCCAATCACACAGCTCCCGTCTGACTCGAGCTTGATGTACTTCCTGATGAGCTCCTGAGGGACACCCCAGGCCTTTGGCAGCAAGCGGGCCGGCAGCTTGGGCAGCACCGTGTTCTTGATTCCTACCAGGGGGATGTAGTGGTTCCTGCCGGAGCTGCTCCAAGCAATGCAGATGGGTTTGTTGAGCTTCCCATCTTTCCCCCTGCACTGCTCCTCAGCCACCAGGCCAGGCAGGAAGGTGGCTGAATAGTCTCCAGAACTCCTCATCCCACTCAGGGAGTCCAGCAGGATTATGGGTCGGTGGAGGACGTTGGCTAAGCCGAATATGTGGATGTTGCGCAGTCCGAGCGGCACCCCTTCAGGTGGGATAAACAGGGGGTCGCACTCATTAATGATGTCCTCCCACTCTGCAGCATCAATAAAGTCCTGAAAGAGGGCCTTGTAGCGGTCCAAGTTCTGCTTGAAGTTCTGTTTCAGGTTCTCTCTTAGGGCATGCCAGAACAGTTCTCTGCCCACCAGCGCTCGGGACACGGCGTGGACCAGGCAGTGCCCATCTCCATCTACGTGGACTGGGATGAGACACTCTCTGTTGCCATTGGCTTTCTTGACCTCCTCCAGAGTGTCATGGAGGTATATGAGGCTCCCTGACCGGTCCTTGCCGTACCCCATGGTGGACACATGATCTGGCTCAATGAGAAAGGCTCTGTCTCCTAGCAGCGAGCAGTCGAACATCTCACCCTGGTTCATTTCTCTGAGCAGCTTGGCTTTGCCGGTTTGTTTGTCCATTCCGTACCTGGTGAGCACCGGGGATAGAAGCTTGCAGTGGTAGTTAGAAAGCCCCATTACCTTCACCAGCTCTGTCCCTTTCTTCGGGGCCCCGGTGACGCCGAGCAGGGCGTTCCTGAGCAGATTATGAAGCACCACATCTGGATCAGTCACCTCCTCAACATTCAGCAGGTTCTTCTGCTCGTGTCGCTGACCACACTCGGTGCACTCGATGCTAATGGAGCCGTGAGCGGGGAAGAAAAGCCTCGCCTGACATTTCGGGTCTGGGCAGGTACCCGACAAAATACGCTTGTCTTTTTTCTTTGAGCTCTGCAGCAGCGACATCTCGGCTGAAAAAAGCTGAAACTGTCCGTTAGCTTCACAAAACCATGATAGTCACACTCCGGCGGGGATGTCAGACGAGCCTTGACGCCGCTAACGAGAGTTTATTTGCCAGAATAACACAAGAACAACACGGAAGCGGCTGTTTTTTTCCTTTAGCAACTGACCGCTGCTAAACGTAACGACGTAATGACGTCGGATTGTGGGACTTGTAGTTTTTCTGTGTGATTACGTCTAAACATTTACACACCACATTCAAAGCGACGGCATTTTCTCCTTTCCGTATAACAAACTCTCCTGATAATGACAGAAATAGTACTGAATCAAACAGCTACCCGTGGTTAACGGATTTAAATCATTAACCATAAAGTTCGACAGACTACGTTTACCAGAATGCATCACGGCGCAACGACGTTATGTTGTGTAAGGAAGTCAGTTCAGCAGAATCATGGCAGTTTTCCGCTGAACAGGAGGAATTTTCGCGATTTATCTCATAGGTTTGATCAACGAAATGTATCAAAAGACACTTTAGGCTCGAGCTGCTGTTATGGTTTTCTGGTAAACAGTGGTTTGTAGGTTTTGGGCCATAAAACTAGCTGAGTTTGGCTTTGACGGTACTGGCAACAGGAGTTTATTGGTTAGCTTAGCTGTTAGCCTGTTGGATCATCATCGCTGATTGTTTGAATTAATCATTGCATTCAAATGAACTAGCAGTCATTGGTGGAACCGTAGACTGTCTGTGGCTGAAGCAAGCGAAAACTGCGATTGGGACGTTCAGAGAAACATAGTGTAGCCGAACTCCATTCACTTATATGTGAATTTTACGCTTCCTTACTGAGCGGCCAGTCCAGACGACTCAAAGAACTACACTGACGGTTTTCTATGAATTTTAAATGACTTTCAATCAATGCGGCATATATGTGACCCCCCAAATTGTACTTAATATTGATAAGATTTCAGGGTTAATCTAGTTAAGCTGCCTGCTGCTGCCACCTGGTGTGACTCTGTGCAGGTGACTGATGGAGGAGCGAGCTCCTGGTGGTTTGCATCCGTGCTGTTTCATCTCGTCCTTTATAAACACAGCCTTGCTTTGTTTTTTCCTGTTAATAGGACATTTGGACTTAAAATAACAGATGTTTGAACAGAGTCTTGTTTGTGGTTTTGTGTCTGCCAAGCAGGGCTGAACAGTTCATTGATTTCAAACCAAAATCACAATTGCAAAGGCTGGAATTTAGCATATGTGTTACACAGTGTGTCTGACCTGGGCTTTAAACTGTCATGGTCGAGGTTTTGCAAAGTCATGCTGTCCTGTTTGTGTCGCAGTTCAAACATTTGATGGTATCTGACATTGATTGAAATCTATTACACAGCAAACATTGAACTGAAGCTTCATCTGAAAAAATGTAAAAGTAAAAAGAATCAAAGGTATTGCATATTAGTGGCAGAATGACAAAATAACAAATAAATAAAATAGGTTCATCCACAGAAAATGAAGAAAACCTTCATTAAACTCTTGCAAATGCAGTAGAACTCGTTGATCTCTGTTGGAGTCATCCAGGAGGTCATCAATTCTTGTAGTATTATTTGGAAAGTAACAGTAATGTCAGGTTACAATATTTGTTTTAATGATACTACTTGTATGAGTAAACTATAACTGCAGGTTGTGATTTTTTATTTTATTTTTTTATCAATTGATTCTATTTATTTGCTTGTGTATGTATACATTTTTACTTAATTTTATCTGTCTTTAATCACTTCACTTTGTTACTGTTGTCTTACTTTGCTATTCTTAATTACATGTATTTATGATAGTGTTTCTACCGTTTCTCTTTTTATTTCGTCTTCAGATATAACACAATCTTTATGGTAAATTGGGAGGGTTTTCATTGTTTTTATAATTATTTTTAACTCGTTTTGTTCAGTGAAGCACTTAAAGTTTTTTGTATGAAAAGTGTTGCATAAATGAAGTCTGCTTGATACCCGTATTTGTAAGCTGTAATTGAAGGCTGTTGGTTTTAATGGCAATTTGAAGTACTTTTAAATGCAGATAGCATTTGTACTGAACCTTTAGCATCATCAACAATATAATCTGGTTGGTGCAATAGTATATGCAGGTGGAGTATCTGTCAAATCAGTTAACGTGTATTTAAACAGCCACATGAAACACAAGAACCTGGATACAAAGAACTGATGTCGTCCCACAACCACATGCAGATAAAACAAACGTTAAGAGACTAAATGAGATGAAGAGTGACAGAGAAAGTTCTCTCACAAACATGAATGTGTCCCTCACAAGCTGTATTTCTAATTCCAGGAGTTACTGTTTTGTTTTAGCTGCAGTAGAGTGAAGTAACAGCAGCACGACTGTCAGCGACTGCTGTGTGTTGCTTTGTTCAGTAGATGTCACTGTGGTCCAACACAGTTAGATGTGACAGTGTTG